CGAGGGCCGGGCTCCCGGGGCCGGTGGCCATGGGTGGGAGCCGGAGGCGGCAGCGGCAGCGGCAGCGGCAGCGGCAGCGGCAGCGGCGGGCCCCGCGAGCGGGGAGGCGCGCGGCCCACGGCCCCTGACGGCCCCCGGCGGCCCGGCGCGCCCCCGCGCCTCCTGGGGGGCCGTCGCCCAGCAACGCCCGGCGCGCCCGCCCATCCCCCCGCTGCCCTTTTTTTCCTGGCCGGGTGCGAGGGAGCATGCCCGCGCCTGGCCTCAGCCAGCGGAGTTAACCCGAGGGGCGTGGAGCTGCCCCTCCCTCGGGGGCGTCCTCCCCTCCCCCGCTAAGCGGCCCGCCCCCTGCGCTAGGGTATGGCCCCCGGCCCCGGCCCGGGACCCGAGGTCCCGCACTCCGGCCAGTGAAAGGCGTTTTCCCGTTCCCGCCCTCCTCCCCTCGCTGGCCAGCACCATGGGATGTAATATGTGCGTGGTTCAGAAACCGGAGGAGCAGTACAAAGTGATGCTTCAGGTAGGGGCCGTTGGGGCGGGGGGCGTGGGCGCCACCTGGGGAAGAAGCTGGTCGCAAACCTGGGAGGGCTGAAGGGCTCGAAGAAGAAGAGGTAGGGAGCCATTCCTGTCCTCAATTTCTGGGGCTGCTGGGTGTGGGCGCTCCGTGGGAACCAGTCACAGATGGGGGGAGCTGCGTGGGGATGGGGTGTAGGGCGCATCCCTTGGGCGCCCGGAGTAGATGGGGACGTGAATCCTGGGTCCAGATCGGCCTGGCTCCGGAAGTTGGGCTCGGCCCGGTCCGGCGCGCTTGCACCCCGGGCCCGGGAGCCCGGAGGCGCGGTGTTGCCGGCGCCGGCGCGGGATGGAGGTTGCATAGCAACGGGATCCGTTCCCTGTACACGCTCGCCCCGCTGGACCCAGGGCGGGGGAGGCAGTTGGGCACCCGCGGCGCGGGGGTCGGCCACATCCAGGGCCCGGAGGGCCAGGGGCGCAGGAATACGCGGGCGGTCTGGGGCTGGGGCGCTTATCCCGGCGCCCACTCTCCGCCCCGGCCCTGCCCAAATGGTGGGCTCCCAGGCTGGGGTGCCGCGGGCTCAGCGAGGGGAGGGCTGTCTGCAGGTAGCGGTGCCCGGCTCGGTCCCTGCCCTGCGGGGCCTCGGGTCCAGAGCCGCGGGGGGCGTGGACCGGGAGGTGTTCGGCGGGGCAGGCTGGGATACGCCCGGCCGCGCGCTCGGAACCCAAGCCCAGCCCGGTGGCCCGGAGCGGGGCTTCCTTGCTTGTGCGTGGCGTGACTTCGTGAGTGCGTGCTTGTGCCCCGTCTGTGTGTGCGCGGAGGCTCCTCGGGCCCCGCGTGTGTGTACTTTCTGTGTGCGCTCAGAGAGGTGTCTAGGGAAATGTCCCGCATGGTGTGGCCTGAGACGCCCCCGGGGCTAAGGTGAGGGAGTTCAAGGTCGGAGGGAGTCGGGACCCAGGGGCAGACCCGGCGCAGACAGGTATGCACTTCAACTCAGGGTTTATGGGTCAGGGCTGGGGAGCAGGCGCAGGTCCGTGCGGTGTTGGCCGGGGGCAATGGGGTCTCCTTAGAAGAATAGGGGGAACTCCTGTAAGCATCCACGGGGGCGCGGTGTGTAGGGGGGTGGGGGAGGAATCAGCGTCTCGGGGGGTTGGGGAGGCCGCGGGAGCCCAGATTTGGTGCCGTGAGCCTGGTTCTGGCCACTGTGAGCGGGAGGGGGCACGACGGGGAATCTTGCTCTGCCCTGGCCGCGCCACTCAGCTCCTCTCTGAGGCTCTGTCTCCCGGGGCGCGCGCGGCCCTGCGCTTTTCCCGCTCGCTGTCCCTCGCCTTTCTTCCATTCTCGCCGTCCGCCCCCGGGCTGTGCCTCTTGTCTTGTTCCCGCTGTCTGGAAATCTTGCCTGGCCATTGTCATTGCCCGCTCGTGGAATCGGGCTCGGTAATAACTCGCGCTGGGACCGAAAGGCAGTCCCTTGGAATCCCAGTGGTGGGCACCGGGGCTGCAGGCGGAAGGTTGCGCTGCACTGGTTGGTTGGTGGCGCCGTGGGATCCCACCCTCACTCCTTCCTTTCTTGGAATTATTCTACCAAATGGCAAGCGATTCCAAAGCTCTTGGCTCTTGACTTCCTCAGAGAGGGATTGAGGTAGTATTTCATTTAAGGCCGACCTCATGGGGGTGTGTGGAAAGCAGAGGGCGACCTGCGCTGCCTACAGGCTTGAAATGAGCCGGGTCGAGGGGCGACACTGAGGTGACCCTTCTGGCTCCCCCTGGCAGTGAGTGAGGGGAGGCTGCCACAGTTGGGGTTGGGACTGCCTTCAGGGAGGCTCCATGTTGGAAGAGGGCTTGAGATGAACCTGGGCAGGAAAGTTCAGAGCCAGGCTTTCCTTGAGAGAGAGCCCCAAGCCTTGGGGCGATAGGTCCCCAGGAGGAGGGGCCCGCATGCCAGCTGCCCTCTCTGGGGATGCTGCTCCCTTTTAAAGCTCCTGCAGAAGTTTGGGCAGAACCAGAGCCTGGGTGCAGTTTTAAAAGAGGAATGATCCTTTAAAATGAAGGGGAGGGGCGCCTGGGTGGCTCAGTCCCTTAAGCCACTGACTCCATTCTGGCTCAGGTCCTGATCTCAGGGTAGTGAGATCGAGCCCCAGTGCGGGGCTCGTGTGCTGGGTGTGGAGTCTGCTTAAGATTTTCTCTCTCTCTCTCCCTCTGCACCTCCCCCCCAAAAGTAAATAAGTAAATAAAATAAAATTAAGGGAAGACAAGAAGATTGAATAAAAAGCTGGAAAGCAGGGAAAACCATTAGTGGTCCCAGATGACCCTGTTTCTGGGGGCTGGAGTCCCAGGCACAGCGGGGTGAGCCTTTCCTGGCCCAGTCCGGTCCTCTTCTCAGAGCAGAAAGAAGCTTTTGTCCCAAAAGACCAGTCAGACTCCTTGCCTGGCTCCCGTACTCCCCTAAACACTGGCACTCCCCTAGCCTCAATGGTGCTTCTCCCAGTCCAGTCTGTACCTGCCTGTGGCCTCTGCACCTCATGAGAGTGAGGGACCCGGGTGGGGCACAGTGCAGCCCAGAGAAATGCACATGCACGCCTACACCACTTGCCACGGGACTTCCTTGTGCCTTAGATTCTTCAACCCCCAGGTTAAGGACTCCCAAGTGTCTGTCCTACCCTTGAGCTCCAGGCCCTTTTCTCCTGATGGCACAAAACAAACTACAGCTTTATTGAGCATACCCTGATAAAGTGTGCAATCGGTGGTTTGTAATATATTCAGGGAGTTGTGCAACCATCACCACTGTCTCATTCCAGAACATTGTCATCACTCCAAAAAGAAACCCCGTCTTTAGCAGTCATGTACCCATTTCCCCCAGCACCTCCTAGCCCCTGGCAACCACTAATAATCTCTGTATGGATTTGCCTGTCCCAGACATTTCATCTTAATGAACCATAGGAACCATACAATATATGATTTTTTTTTTTTAAGATTTTTATTTATTTATTTGAGAGAGAGAGAATGAGAGATAGAGAGCACAAGAGGGGAGAGGGTCAGAGGGAGAAGCAGACTCCCCGCTGAGCAAGGAGCCGGATGTGGGACTCGATCCTGTGTCTCCAGGATCATGACCTGAGCCGAAGGCAGTCGCTTAACCAACTGAGCCACCCAGGCGCCCCCAATATATGATTTTTTTAATGTGCGGCTTCTTTCATTTATCATGTTTTCCTTTTAAAAAAAAATTTTTTTTTTAAGTACTCTCTACCCCCAATGTGGGGCTCAAACCCATGACCTAAGATCAAGAGTTGCACGCTCTTCCGACTGAGCCAGCCAGGCACCCCCTAAATTTCTTTCTTTTCTTTTTTTTTAAAGATTTTTTTTATTTTTTATTTATTTGAGAGAGAGAATGAGAGAGAGAGAGAGCACATGAGAGGGGGGAGGGTCAGAGGGAGAAGCAGACTCCCTGCTGAGCAGGGAGCCCGATGCGGGGCTCGATCCCGGGACTCCAGGATCATGACCTGAGCCGAAGGCAGTCGCCTAACCAACTGAGCTACCCAGGCGCCCCTAAATTTCTTTTTATTGCTGAGTAATATCCCATTGTGTGACTATACCACATAGTATTTATCCATTTACCCATTGATGGACACTGGTGTTGCTTCCACCTTTTGACTATTGTGAATAATGCGGTTGTGAACATGGGTATACAAGTATCTGTTTGAGTCCCTGCTTTTATTTTATTTTTAAAAAGATTTTATTTAATTTTTTTATCTTTATTTTTTAAAGATTTTATTTTTAAGTAATCTCTACACCCAACGTGGCGCTCAAACCCACAACTCTGAGATCAAGAGTCACATGCTCTACCAACTGAGCCAGCCAGGCACCCTCAGTCCCTTTTAATTTAATAGTTAAATTAAAAAATAATTTAATTTTTTTTGGTATATACCCCGAAATGGAATTGCTGGATCATATGGTAATTCTGTTTCATTTTTTGAGGAGCTGCCGAACTCTTTTCCACAGGGGCTGGGCCACTTTACGTTCCTACCAGGAATGTAAGAGGGTTCCGCTTTCTCCGCGTGCCCCCAATGCATGTTTTTGATTACAGCCATCCTACTGTGCATGAGGTGGTATCATTGTGGTTTTGATTTGCAGTTCCTGAGTGATGTTGAGTATCTTTTCATATGCCATTGTCCATTAGTATGTCTTTTCTGGAGAAATGTCTATCTTTATGCCAGTACCACTCTGCTTTTACTATAGCTTTGTAAGTAAATTTTATTTTTGTGAATTTTTAAAATATTTATTTATTTGAGGGAGAGAGAGAGCGCGCACGAGCAGAAGGAGGGGCAGAGGGAGAGGGAGAAAGAATCTCAAGCAGACTCTGTGCTAGGCAAGGAGCCTGATGCAGGGCTCAATCTCATGACCCTGAGATCATGACCTGAGCTGAAACCAAGAGTCCAACATTTTAACCAATTGAGCCACCCAGGTGCCCCGTAAGTAAATTTTAAAATCAGCAAGTGTGAGCCCTCCAATTTTGTACTCTTCAAGATTGTTCTGGTTATTCTGGGTCCCTTAAGTTTCTATATGAATTTTAGGATCAGCTTGCCAGTTTCTAAAAAGAAGCCAGCTGCAGTTTTGTAGGAATTGAATTGAATTTGTACATCGATTTGGGTGGAGTATTACCCATGAACATGGGATGTCTTTCCACATGGATCTTCAGTTTATTTAAACAGTGTTTTGCACTTTTGTTACATTTACTGCTGAGTGATTTATTCTTTATGATGCTATTGTGAGTTGAATTGTTTTCTTTTTTATTATTATTTTTAAAGATTTTATTTATTTATTTGACAGAGAGAGACACGATGTGAGAGAGGGAACACAAGCAGGGGGAGTGGGAGAGGGAGAAGCAGGCTTCCCGCTGAGCGGGGAGCCCGATGTGGGGCTTGATCCCAGGACCCCGGGATCACGACCCGAGCCGAAGGCAGACGCTTAACCGACTGAGCCACCCAGGTGCTCCTGTTATTTTTTTAAAG